CGTCAGCTGCAGAATTATGAATACCAGCAATGTGTTCGCTTTTGAACATGATATTGTTTAAGAGACATTTTAATATCATGGGACGTAAGAGTTGCATGGACGTTTGATTGCTGGTGGAAAATTTATTTAGAATGTTCACTACTGCTTCATTGTCAGAATGTAGGATAACTGTGTGTCCAGACATAAAATTAGCCCATGTAAGTATAGCAGTAACAATGGGATATAATTCAAGAATATTGATGTCCAATTCTTTCCATTCTGCTGGCCATTCCCCTTTAAACCAAAGATTATTGCAAACGGCTCCATAACCTATCGTAGTAGAAGCATCGGTAAATAGATGCAATTGTTCTCTTGTCTCTTGTTCTTCTGTAAGGAAAATAGATTTCCCATTAAAGTGTATTAGGAACTCTTTCCACATTAATAAATCCTGCATAGCTGGAGTGTTGATTAAGATTTTATAGTGTAGCTCCTTCACTTTTTTAGATAGATGAATAAGTCTTGAAATAAATGATCTACCGAAAGGAATCACACAACAACAGTAGCTAAGGAATCCTATAGCAGATAAAAGTTCTCTTTTTGAGACTTTCTTTGGTTTTGGCTTATTGGTAATGGGGTTAATGTTACATAAAGTGTCAATGATTGTTTTGCCTTTGACTATTTTTTCCACAGGCAAACGAGCTTCTAATAATAAAGTGTCTAACTCTATTCCAGCGAAAGTTAAAGTAGTGTTAGGTAGAAAAGTTTTCTCTGGAGACAAAGGCACTCCGATATCTGCACACATACTCAAGAATTTGTTTAAATCGCCAGAACATTGTTCTTCATTTGCTGACAGAATTAGAAAATCGTCAAGGATATGTATCATGTAAGGGATGTTCAGTTTATTCTTAGCGATCCACTCCAGTGAAGTACTGAAAAGTTCAAAAATTGCACATGATGAAGAAAGTCCCATTGGCAGACATCTGTCGAAATAAAATTTGTTATTCCATTTCATACCCAGAAGATTATGGGTGGATTGATGCATAGGTATGATACGGAAGGCAGCTTCGATATCGGTCTTACACAAGAAGCAACCTTTTCCTAAATGTTTTATAATATCTATGGCTTGCTGTACAGTTGCATATTTAACTGTAGAAGTTTCATCTGGGATAGTATCATTTATGGATTGGCCTCTGGGATGTGATAAGTTGTGAATAACACGGAATTCGCCTGGAGATTTTTTAGGAACGAGAAATAAGGGTGAAATAACATAGTTATCAAATGGTGGCTGGTCAAAAGGTCCCAGTATTCTACCAGCTTTAAGCTCTTTGTTTAATTTTTTATCGAGAGCTTCTGGGTTCTTAGATACGGATGACAAATTATCATGAGTAATGTTGTAATGTTCTGGCATATCAGAGTGAGGAAATTTAAATCCATACGTGAAACCTTGAACTATTTCTTCTTGATGTTCATAACCTTCGAGCCAATATCTGAGTCTTTCAGGTTTAACTGGAGTAACAACTTGTGTTGACATAAGTTCACTCGAAGGGTTTTTTGGAGTCTCCAGTACTTGAACGCTTTTTGTTGGGGAATTGGGCTTGCCTGTTGTTGTTGCGGGAGTAACATTTTGACATGGAGTGTTTGGAACGATTGCAGGTTGGGCAGGTGTGGTTAAAGGGACAAGGGGATTTGTCACAAGTGAGTCCTTGATGGAAGGGAAAACAATACCCTAATGGAATCTCAGATTTGGACTGGGTGGTTTTTTGTGAATTTTTGGGGGGATAATACATCTTGTTGTCAGTAAAACCAAACATGTTTTGCTCATGTTTAGAGATCCAAAGAGTTGAAGCATTTGCATTAAGTTCTTTGGCTTTTAACCAGTATTCAAAATGTAGCATTCCCCACGGAAATTTTGTCTTTGCCCTTTCATCTCTAAATTTTTCGTCATACACCCTCCAACCTTGATGTCTTTGAAAAAGTTCCGTAACAGAAACCATATATTTCAAGAGGTGTGGGGTTTGATCAGGAAATCTTTGGGTATAGACAGCAATAAATATACTGAATGCTCGGATCCATTCTGGAAATGAAAGGATTTTTCCTTTCTTTGAAGGGTTTAAATTCAAATGTTTTGATTCAAAAGAACCATCAGATTTCATTTCACAGAGGACATAATCATTGTTTTTGTCTTCTTCAGGGCCTTTGACAAGGGATGAAAGGGCAATATATTCGTCAGCCCAAATTTTATCTTTAAGCTTTTGGGGAATGAGGTTATGAAGGGGAGCAGACTGCATGGATAGAGAGAGTTGATAATCGATAGGATTGAAGTTTTGTGGAAAAGTTGAAGCAAAACTCGGTTGAGTAGTAGGAGGGAGTGTAAAACCACCTTGTGTTTGTCCTTGATTTGGAAAGGGCATTTGATTGGGAATGGGATTCATAGAGGCTACGGACACCTGTCCTTGTAGCATGGCATTTGGGTTGGGAATTAAGCCATAAGCTGTAGAGACAGGTTGGAAATTAGGAAAAGCTGAAAGGTTAGAAGGGGTGGGAGGGATAAAAGGGGTGGGAGGGATAAAAGGGGTGGGAGGGATAAAAGGGTAGGGTTGGATATTACCGCTTGATGCAAAAGATGGAATAGGGCGAGTAATAGATGATGTGGGTCTATTTAGAGAGAATGACATGTTGGGTTGGGATGGAATGGAAGATGTCGTGGAATAGGAAGGTATACCGGGACAAGTTGTTGTAAAGTTGCCTCTTATTAAAGTGGGCATAGACTTGGCTGCAGTCAGGGTATTAGAAGTGTGATACTCTTCTATAGTAATACTTGGGCTAGGATCAGATCCTTCAGTTTCAGACATCTGGAATGAAATAAGTAGTATTTATATAGAGGGTAAGCAACTTCAAGACATAATAATATTTTAGATAAATATAAATAGAAGCACATGCTCCTTTGCTAAGATGTATATAAATATGCTGCCCATAGCTTAAGGCTAATCATAATAAATGCCCATAAGGCTAATCATAATAAATATGATTTAGAATACACTGCATAAATAAATGCATATGATGTATAAAAAATATGGAATATCATAATATAAATATGATAACCTCTAAGAATAAAGGTAAAGTATACAATGCATGAATAAATGCATATGATATATAAATAATATGAATTTTTATCATAATATAAATATGATAACATCTAAGTCTAAAGGTATAGTATACACTGCATGAATAAATGCAGATGATATATAAAATAATAGATATTATCATAATATAAATATGATAATATATAAGTAAGGAGGAAACTAAATTTCCTAAAGTAAGTATAGTACTTATGAAGGATAAATAAGTGAATAAACTATTGTGAATGGTTAACGACTCTCTGGCTTATGTTCGGTTAGAGAAGAGTAGCCGTCTCTTCTAATGTTAAGTCTACTTATTCTTACCTAATAAATGTAATCAAGAAATCTCAGGACTGCGCCTTTCCAGGACTTGACCAAACGCTTTTCCCCTTTTGCATTGAGATGTATGGGATCGTGGGTGTCATCTATTAAATTCGACCATTGATTTTTATATTGGGTGGTATGTGGGTGATGGAGGAAGAAAAGTCTATTGTCCTTATGATGGTGAATATCATTTAACAATTTGAAATTGGTAGATAGGATTTTTGAATTATACTGAATGCAGTCTGAAGTAGTATTGATTGAGGATTTGAAAGGATGCCATGAACGTTGAAATAGTTCTCCAATATAAAAGGCTTTCAATGAAGGATGTATGTCTAAATATTGTTCAGCCAAGGTGATGAGATTTTCTGCAACAAAGGTAGATGATCTGTGAACCAGATCATTTTCTCCTAGCTGTAATATAGCCATATCTGGATAGGGATTTTCATATTTTACACCATCTTGGAATTGTTTAATTGTATATACAATGGAGGTTTTATGATTAACTATGTCTTCCTTTAATTTAAAGTCAAATTGGTTAGTTTCCTCTATTTTCCGGACAAAACTGTGGCCTATAATGTTGACCCTAATATTCTTAGGCATATCTAATTTCTTGTATAATGGGAGAAGAAAAGGGAAGGATATTTTTGACTCCTGTCTTATCCTCAGAGTAAAGTCTATTATGTGCAATAAGGTGTCTGAAATATAGAAAGAAAAGGAATAATATTATAGCTCTCTCAAGAGATAACTACATATCAAGTAATAAAATGATATCTGTACCTTTATGGTACTATGAATAATCCCGATATCAACCAGAAATCTCTGGAATGGGATAATAAATAGAATAGGTATATTTATTTAAAAGCCTACAAGGTAACTTACACTCGTAAATAAATGAAATATCTATCGTTAGATTGGATGGAGTCTATCGAAATTGGCACAAGAATGATAAGAAAAAACGCCAATTCGACCCCACATTATGCGGGTAATAGAACGTAGTTTTAGGACATGTACGTGACGTGTCCATCTTCATCAATAAATTAATCATTTTGTATAAATTCAAGTTTTAAAATTATATGTTCAAGATATCAATTGAATATTTCAAACAATAAAAACAACTACAAAGGCATAAAAGACAAAAGATGAAACGTGTTTGAAATTTTTTTGAACATTTTTAAACTGACGTTTTTTGTGTGAAATATTACGATAAAATTTTCACAAAACGATTCAGCGATAGATAAATGTATATACAAGAGATAAATGTCGATAAAAAGAATCGAAATGTATAACTTACATTGATGTTTAAGGATTTTTTAAGGACCTAGGGAGAAGACCCTCCAACTTCAATCCTATCGATTTCTCGTCTGAAGTCTCATCTCGTACTCTCGAGATCTGAAGCTTGATGTTTCGTTCAGTGTAACTTACCAGAAACATTTACCTGGGATAACCGGGGAATGGTCTTCTCAGGGCTTGTTCATACCTAAACCTTAACCGACTCTCACATTGCCATAAATGAAATTATTGTCAATAATTTGAATATTAGCTTATTATAGCTTATATTTGAAGGCTTTAATCTATAACATTTAGGCACATAAAACTTAATATGTTTTCAAATACATATATTGCACTGTAATTTTATGTTGTTTTGTTTCGCATTATACAAAAATTGAGCTTAATTTTGCAATAAAGAAACAAAATGAAGGATTAACTGGAAACTTCTGATTCAACGAAAAAGTCCTCAATGTAACATAATAGTTCACATCATATCTTTTAACATTTGTCATATAAAACCTCACATTCCAAACAAGAACTCCATTCAATGCCTAATATATAACATTCATCATGATTCAATTTCTATATTTCTGTTGATATCAGAATTATCCACGTCCCTAGGTTTATTCCGCCCATTTGCCGTGGGTTTAATAGTACTAATCCCACTCTGTATTCCTGTTTCATCATCCAAAATGATTGCATGTCGTCGACATTTTCGCACATTTTTACATGCCTGTTTAAACTGGCTACTGAAGTAAATATAGATGGCAGCATTTAACCAACTGTAACAAGAGACGCTAACAATTGATGCGATGAATACATCGTAAAGGTTTAAGAGTTGCTGAAATTGTGGAAATGTTAATGTGATGTTACGTTCAGCTTTGTAGCCGAACAACCAGAAATAACTTGTGAGACAGATGCATTGTGGGAGCCAGCATATCGTGAAACATATGACGATCATGAGCATCATTTTTACTGCAGTCATCTTTGCTCTGATTGACGATTCAGATTTCACAGAGGATGGCTTCCGTAACACTTTGATAATGCTGCTATAAAGCACAGATATGGTCGCAAGTGGAATGATGTAACTAAACAAAGATTCAGTGATGTAGCCGTAAAGTTTTGGAGAATCACATAAGGCTGGTTGTACATTGTAAATTGTGCCATTGTAGTCTACTTTATACTGCTGTGAGGAGTAGGATGAGACCGGTATAGTGGCCAATCCTGCACTAAACAACCATACAAGGAGTAATATAAGACAGCATTGTTTCGGAGTAAATTTCTTCTTATGCGGAGACACGATACTCCTGTATCTGTCAATTGCTACAGCAACCATAGCCCATATGCTACTGAGAGCTACCAAATAGAGAACATATAGCTTCACGAAACAGTTCTGTGACTTGAAGTTGTCTTTTATCCCGATCGCTGAGAGACCATCAATGGTGGCATACACACTATAAATACTGAATATCAAATCGGAAATGCTCAGGGAACATATGTACAGATTAGCTGTAGAATGAAAAGCTCGGGTAAAAAGTATCACAAAAAGAATGGTCCCATTGAAAACAATGTTAAGCGCCACTGTTATACTCAAAAGCACCATCATTGCGCTATAATATAATGTACTACCATTAACATGTTCTGCAACATAAATATCCAATATTGTTAAATTCGCTTTAATCATTCTATCCATTCATGTATTCAGGTTCTACTGCTTTAATTAATACTTGCATCTAATATCCATATTTGCTGTTATCTGATTCTGACAACTCGCTGATGTCAGGAATGATGTCCTGTAAATGTCATGTTGTTAATTTATTTCTCTTTCTTTGAATGTCAGTGTCATCGGCAACACTTATTTTTTATTGAGGAACACTTCAATGTTTGTTAATCGGGTCTCCTAATTGTTTTGCTGAAAAAAAGTAACATTTAATTATTTTTTGACTGCATTTATGTTCGGGCAAACTTATTAATGGTTTTTATTGTGTCTCGCCCTCGTGCTTGTTTTTCCTGATAAGCTACAATTGTGGCTCGTTAGAATGCCATTTGCCATCTTCTTTATAATTATTTATTAATGTGCGATCTTTATAGAATTGCAAAAAAAATCAATCACTGTGGCCCACTGATACATTATCAAGATCTTTTATATACTTTCCATTATTGTATTTTGCCAAGATTGTTTAAACCATTTTAACAATTAATTGGTTCAAAGTTGAAAAAATTATACTTTCTTTTCACCTTCTAAAAAATAACATGGCTGAAACTCACTAAATTACAATAGACCATAGGTTTACTGTATATTACAATTTTTATTTGAAATGAATTTAAATTTTGTGTCTAAAATATGAATTTATTTTTCCATATAATATTGCATCCTTTGATCATTTGATTGGTAATTTTTGATTGACAGCCTTATATTTTCATTGCCTTGCACTATAATTATCCTTACCTGTTTCATAGAATCCTTTTTGGTTTGTCGCAGTTTGTAGCCATAAATCCTCCTACTCTGCCTAATGTGTTATGAGTTCTGTTTCGAAATGCTTGTAATGATACGACACCAGGGAGATTATCCAATTAACGACACTATTGTTTCACCGGTATCATATATCCGTTAACATCATCTAATTACCGAGTTACCACTTAGTTCAGTTATATTAAGTGTGATTCACATTTCCCGATTGTCCAAAAGTGTAACTGTATTACATACAGAAGTCAGTAAAGATTGCTTTCTTTCATAATATTGTGAACTGTATGCACTTTGCACTCAGATTTGATATTTCCCTCATCATTTGTATAATGTTAGTGTCTGATATCAAATTATGTAAATTCATATACTCAAGTCTTTGTCATAATTTTGATAATATTTTATTTACTTTTCTTGGACAATTCAAATTGATTCTCAGAAATATAAAGTGATGTCTGATTCAAACCATTTATTCCCCGTTGATTCTTTAAATAATTCATGCAACTGTTTTTCCATTTCATTTGAACCTAGATTTATGGGGCGATGAATTCTGTATAAATCACCTTAAGTTCATCATTCTTCCACAAAGTTAAGTTATTTCTGCAAATTTATCAACTTTCAGGAACATACAGCTGATTTTAATATAAGTTCTTTCCAATTTATAATCCTCTGTTTTACAAATGGTACTTCTCCACAAGTCGAGATAATCTCAGCTATTAGTAAAACTGAGATTAAACACTATAACTTGCTCTCCACGAATCTATCTTAAATGTCAGGTATGTTATTAATGTATTGCTCGATATGTGTTTCAGTAGCCTAATGTTTCCGTTTTGACTTTGACTCTCATCCGGGTCAGATTTTTTCTAATGTGATTGTCACTAAGTTTTAATACAGTGAATTGTCAGAACTGTAGCCCTTGTAAATGATTCAACGCCATGTTCTTCTTTTTCTCATTTAAAGTGTTTATTCTATTTACAATTTCATCACTAGGTGTGATCCTCTAAATAGAATTCAATTCAATCTTTGCAATTTTCTCACTGTTTCAAATTTTAACGATTGTTTGGTGACACCATCTAGCTGCTATATTCAGTTGTACGTACAGGTCTAGGGAATAATGGTACAGTAATGTAGAAGCTTATCTATCTATATACTTAGCCAATCAGGTATCATTAACCAGAAATCAATCTTCTCCAGCTATTATAGAAGGTCTAGGTAGATTATCTTATATACTTTCTCCATAAAATGTTTATGAAAATTCTTATTTAAATACTTTTACGTGAAATGCTTATAGAAGTTTCTTGTTTAAATACTTTATCCATGAAATATTGATGAAGTTCCTTACTTAAACACTAAGATATTTTGTTTTCTCCCTTAAATGTTTATTACATATTTTATTTTAAATCCTGTCTCCATTGTTATTATTATGGTATTCAGTTTATTCCTTTTTATTTTTATGTTTTTTTTTGTAAATTTCCGCTGTGATCTGAATTTGTAGATGGCGTCTTGAAGAATATCTGAATGAATGTAAATCTCAACATATCATTGAATGCGTATTACACCTCTGTTTAAGTACGATTGTATGATCTCATTATGATAATATTCCTCATAGAATTTGTCAGACCTAATTTTTGTTACATTTATGGTGCAATTATGTTAGTGTTATTGCCTGTACTGTTCACAATTTCTTCGTGCTTGATGTTTAAAATGTCGTTGGTAATATGTAGGGGTTGAAGGTATTCCATGCGATTCTATTTTATAGACTTATATTTGGTTTAGCTGTGTTTATGAGAAAAAAGGACGGCTGCTATTCAGAAGATATTTAGAAAACTTAAAAGTTCACCATACTTATTGTACTTAATAACAAGGCAAAGATAGAATTCCATTCAGATTTCATTAATGTCATTTCCGATTTCCCATCCCATTTAGAAACATGGTTGTTGCTTACATTTAGATATGTTTTGAAAGGTTCTAATAAGAAATCGGAAATGACATCTTTCGATTTATCCGTAGCTATAATTGTTCTTATTTATGAGACTGTAAAGTGCTCTAATTTTGCAATTCTTCATGTTGTCAAAGAGGGACAGAGTGTAACAGAGGGACAGAGTGAGAGGTAACAAAAACGGACTATGATACAGAAGATATTACCTCAAACTGATTTATTGATACTATATTCTAAAATTGGCAGATCGGTAAATTAAAAACCCAAAGATTAGATTAATGTTCATTGCTCTTTTTCTTATTTAGTGATTTTTTCACAGTCATGAACAAATATTGATGTGAATTCCCTAGTTTTATTTCAGATGTCACAAAAGACATAACCTAAGCTGACTTTCAGTATTCCTATGTCAGCCTCCAAATAAAATGACATTTTTAAAAGAAAGATGAATTTAATTTTTGCAAAATTTGCTTAGGATGTTTTACTGTGTGAATAATTTAGTTATCTTTGCTTGTTGATGTCTATGATTTCTTTCAAGTGTTTTCTGTACTGGTTACCTAGTGTACATGATCATTTTGGCTATATTTTTACTTCAACCTCTCCCCTTGAAAAAATATTGCTGGGTTACTAGTAATTAAAGGATAACGTATGGGATACACTTTCTAATTATAGCTCCTGATGTTACGGGGAAAACAAGAGATTTCTCTCAATCCGAAGAAAAGTTCATAGTTATCCGGAAATTATTTGAGTGGGTTTAACATTTCCCATGTCAGTTTGTAGGTTTCCCGTGGGTGACTCTTTTGTTAACATGCTTGATCAAACACAACTCCGTGATCTCTGAGCTTTTTCTGTGCCATTATATCACATTTCATTTGTACATTTATGGGTGGTTGTTTAAAATATTTAGCCTCATAGCATGAATTAATTAGCCCATTTCATGAATTAATGTCGTTTAATGTCAGTTTAACGTTTTTAAAGTCAAAACCACATATGTCAGTTCAGGTTATTTGTATAAGACTTGGGCAGGTGTATTATAAATTCCTCAGGATATTCCTCATATCCTGAACCTCATATAGGATAATCTCTGTATTTATGGCCACAAACATAATTTTGATTGTATTTAGGAGGGGTTGGGGTAAAATTCCATTATCCATTATGAAAAAGATGGGACTAAACTGAAAGTGTCATTGAAATATTGATCTGGTCCTTTGCATGATAATCCCAGCCTTAGATCAGGAATGCCCCTAAGTGCAGAAAATAATGTCACAATTACATATAAGTCGATTCTTGAAAAGACTTCATTCCCAGAGTTCATTTCCAGAAACTAAATCTAATAGGAGAAATAGAACACTAATTAAGCGAGTGCATAAAATAAATAACATCATCTCGTTAGCACTCAATGTATTTGAAACAAAAGTAGAAATAGAATCTATTGTAGTAATAAAGCTGTAATAAACCTATCAGGAGAGTCCATATATCCTTTCAAACGACAGAAAATGATATGGAAATAATGATATAATGAACTTTATGACTAATAAGGGGAATGGAAACCGTTTTGAAAGAATATTTCCCAGCTATAAAAATATCAAATGAACCATTAACATCACCCCATCCTCATAATTTGTGTAAATTGAACAGACTTTGTCACAGTTAGAGCCATAATTGTGAAAAATTCTGTCACTAATATATGTCACTCTTTACATTATATTCAAGATTTGAAAATCTGTCTGAACTTCCGAATTTTTTCTGAAAACAATTGCAAAATACATGTTATATTTCACTTGCATAATCATTCAGAGCTGTGATTATATTTTTCCTTATTCCAACAAAGTTTGAGTTGGGAAATAGAGTCATCTGTCTGTTTGTATGTCTGTTTTCAATATGGCCATTTAATGTAAAATGGCCACCATTTTTATTACAAATGAAATTATTGATAACTCAAACACTGGTTGGCAAATTTGATTCAAAGTTTGTAGACTTTCAGCTCTATCGAAATATGACCTTTCATCTAGAAGGAATTTTAAGAATGGCCAAAATGATTGCAATTAGAATAACTTGAATGCTTTTACCAAAACCTGGTTTAGTATCACCCATTTTTCCATTTTTGATGTCCCCCAAAAACTGAGACAAGTGATGAGGGAATATTCTTGATATTCGGGTCTTCTGACAAACAGTTTAATATCATAAAAATAAGAAAGTTTCATGAAGTTTAGATTAAATCTAAAGAAACTTGTTTTAGTATCTTTGGCCATTTTTCCACATTTGGAATTACATTCAGCACTGATTGAGATCATTTTGGCGAAGAGGAGATACTACTATTTAATAATAGGATTTTATTAGTACTGATGCCCTTTTAGGGCCAAACGTACATCCAATATACAATTTTCAATAACAGTAAATATAGGCAATAAAGTAAAGAAAATAGGATTACATTCTTCAAATGACATATAAAATGTTACTTTGATATAAGAATCCTGTCTCTACCAATCATTAGATACTTTATCATGTCAGCAGATTCTTTTAATATGATCCCCTCACTCGTCAATAGAAAAATTGTCTTTTGGTGGTCATTCATGTTTTTAAAATTACGACACAGGTTTTCAAGTTTTTCAATATGGGATTTTCTGATAAACTCCAATTTTTTACATTTGAATAAAAAGTGTGTTTCATCTTCTATAACCGAGTCCTTGCATATTTTACAAAATCGACTATTAAGATCAGTAATTGGTTTTGTATATCGGCCTCTCTCTATCTCTAGATTGTGGGCGCTTATACGTAATCTAGTTAAATGTTTAGCATTTGAAAGTGTCGTTTCTGAAAGGTAGTGTTCAAATCCAAAGTGCGATTTTAGTTGTTTAAATAATCTAAGTTTCCCCCCATTCCCACTTATCAGATTCTTCCAATATACTTGATATCTCTCTATTAGTTTCCTTTTGACTTTAATAGCAAGCCTATTCGTGCTCAACTCTATGTTTACCCTATCTTCAAGATTCAATTCATCAGACATTTTTATTTTAATATGGCACAGTATATTTTTGAGTTGTTTGTGCCATGTAAATGTGTTATTTGTTAAATCAAATGTTTTACTCATAATTAATGAATCGTTTAGTAAACTCCCATTTGAACTCAACTCTAAATGACCGAGGTATTTGATTTGTCTTTTTATAATATCAACTACCAAAGGTATTCTTCCCAATTCTCCTCTTACTGCCATGTTTGTGGCTTTTCTATGAACCCCGAGAACATATTTTTGGAACCGAATATGATTGTTTTCAATTAAAGCACTTTCGTATTTCTGTTCAATATCTCGATTAGTTTGGCAGTCACGCTTGGTATATATATCATTACACCATATTTCCGAACCGTATAAAGCGACGGGTTTGATAAGTTGATCATACAATTTCATTTTCAGTGAAGACTTCATCTCTGTGCCGCTTGTCAATTGATAAAGTTTAAACATGGCTTTATTTGCTTTTTCTTTTATGTTTTGTTGGGCCGCTTTAAAAGATCCCGAAGCACTTAAGACAATTCCCAAATATGTATACCTTTGAACATTTTGTATATTCTTACCATTTATTTGAAATCGTTCTTGACAAACTTTGCCACATTTCCAGAATTTCATAATTTTTGTTTTGTCAATGTTAATTTCAAGTTTCCAGTCATCACAGAAGGATTCAAGAGTGTTCAGTTTTAGCTGCATTCCTTCTTTACTAGTATCAAATATGACTAGATCGTCTGCAAATAGCAAACTGCTAACATGTTGAGTTTCAAGGAACGGAGATTCCCCAACATTATCAAACTTTTTTATAATATCATTTATATATATGTTAAATAATAATGGACTGAGCGAGTCTCCTTGTTTTACACCCCTATCACATGAAAACGATTCCGTATAAGTTGAATGATTAAGTTTTACACACGCCGTGGCATTTTCATACATGGTTTTAATGATTTTGTAGAAGTGCCCTTTGATTCCTGACTTTTGTAACTTATACATAAGGCCTGTGTGCCATATCGAATCAAATGCCTTCTTTAGGTCCACAAAGCAGGCATAAAAATTACTTTTATTTTGATGAACATGTTTGTCAATAAGAGACCGAATTATAAATATATGGTCGGTCGTTCTTGCTTTCTTCATAAAACCTGCCTGGTTTTGTGAAATAATATTATTTGATTTGACAAATGCATAAAGGCGATTATATAGCACATTGGAGAAAATTTTCGATAAGCATTCCGAAATAAATATGCCACGATAGTTACCTGGTACTCGAGGGTCATTTTTCTTGTAAATTGGTACAATATAGGATTCATTCCACGATACTGGGTATTGGTTATTACATAATATTTCATTGAATATCTTGCAAATGCGAGGAATTAAAATTTGCCTTCCTGCCTTTACCCATTCATTAGATATTCCACTTTTACCCGCAGCTTTTTTATTTTTTAGTTGGTTTACTACCATATTGATCTCTTCATATGTTATCTTGTAACTAAGTTCGTCAAAATTAGGCTCGTTTTCTAGTTTTTTCAATCTATTTAAAATATCGTTGTCATCATTACTGTTATTTGAAAATAATTTAGAAAAATGATTTTTCCATTCAGATGCCTCTATATCATTAGAGGGGTTAAATGAATTGCTGTCTTTTCTGAGGCTACTGAGAAGCTTCCAATATTCAGAGGGGTTATTTTCTTCAAAGTCTTCAAGTTTCAATATTAGACTGTTTTTGAATCGTTTATTGCTTGACTTACATAATTTTCTATATTGTTTTAGTACATGGAAATAGGATTTTCGAGCTTGTTCGTTGTTCGGTGATTTCACCAGTTGCAAACCCAATCGTCTAACGCGCTTATTCAGAACGGAACAAGAAACGTTAAACCACGCTTTGTTATTCCTTTTATTAGGTCGTGATTTTTTTCTCTTCTTTAGAGATAATGTCGCTGTTGTAATAAGTAAATCATTTAATTTATTCATACTTTCATTTACCCTGTTTTGTGAACAGTGCTCAATAAGCCCATCCAATTGCTTTAATTTAGCTGCGATCGGCGCTGTTTGAAGAGTTTCACGAAAGACAGATGGGGATAAGTTATCCCATTTAAATGAATCTGCCTTCGAACTTACATGATTTTTTTTGGTGCAGATAGGATTCTTATAACAATTTTCTACTTTAAGTAACATGGAAATCATGCAATGATCTGATAAAGAGCTTAAACTATCATGAACCTTAAATAATCTTATTCTATTCATAATTGACTGTTTTGCAAGGCAATAGTCAACAGTACTACTACCATTGTATTTATGGCATGTGAACGAACCAAATGTGTCGCCAAAAATACGACCGTTCAATATTCTCATGTTTGTAGATTTGCATATATCAAGCAATTTGTATCCACTATCGTTCACTTTTGAATCTTTGTTCAAACGTGAAGTTGGTACTGAGTCAATTATGTAATCATCATAAAGTGGAATTGTACTATCTCCATCACATTCAATATAATCATTTAGAACACCGGTTCTTGCATTGAAATCTCCCATCATTATTATGTCCCCAAGACCTGATACTTTTGATAATTCAGCTAAAAGTGTGTCAAATGGGTCAACCGTATCCATGGTCTTTTTAACATAATTTGATGGGGATATGTAATTAAATCCCAGGTAGATATCATTGCTCAAACCGAAGAAAGCCCTTTTCATTTTAACCCACATTAAATCGGGCGTTGTTGATTGAATTATCTGAATTCCAGGAGTTAAATGCTTTTGTATAAATACTGCAACACCACCATGTCTTTTATTGCCGGTTTTTGAACGGTTTGAACAAAATGATGTATACCCTTCTAGGGAAAACGAACTGCCCTTATCACCATGTGTTTCAGTCATACCTATAATGTGATGCTTTTTGATTTCTTTCGTAAAATCAGCGTTTTCAAGCTTATTGAACATATTGTTTTTAATTCCTTGTACATTCCAACATGCAACAGATAAGTGTGATCCATTATTCATGCTACAATGTGTTTTACAGTCTGTCAACGATTTAGTGATATTTAATGAGTTATAACAATTGTGTATAAAGTTCACCATATAATATTTAAACTGATATGTGCTATACTTACAATACAACACGTATTTAACACAATACTCTAAAACATTTTATACTATATTATCGTTATGTACTTGTACTAAAACTTAATATAAATGGTATTTTATACCCAACACTACATGTACTTTTCAGTAATTGACAAATGATGTGTTTAGATGGTTAGTTTCACCATCTATCAAACCACTTTCTCTGGCCTTGAAATGGTCTCTTAGGACCAAACCTTTGTGGGGGAGTGATGTTACATAGTTTCCTGATGCAATCAAGGATGTTTTTACATAGAACTGATGTACCCCTTTCGTTTGGGTGAACTCCGTCTCTGTATAAAGATGTGTTTGGGGTTCCATTTCTTCCAAGGTTGCTGTTTAGAGAGCAGGTAACCTGTCGATCATCATGATATTTAGCTTGTAGCTGGGCTGATATGGATGCTGATCTAATATTCCATAATTCATTGTCGCTTCTTGGTGGTGGTAAAGATAGAACGATCTTCGTATTCCCAAGTTTCCTCTTAGTCTCATTTACCAGAGTATGCATCTCATCGATTATGTCAGTGTCCGTTTTTTGACTATCTTTAATATCATTGCTGATAACCTGGTATACTACAACATCTGGCGTGTTTAAACTTTCCAGTGATTTTCTGGCTTGTGGTATGGTGTATGCATGTTCTAAATAGGCGTCCATGTCATGCATACGACTTGTTTTCACCAAGCTCAAAATCGAAGAACCGATAAGGGCTACTGATGGCTTCGACTTTTCGATAGGATTGATTAACGCCTCTGTTGGTTTAGGCTTACTTTGGACGGTTTTGAAGGGTTGGGAATCAGAATTATCAGCAAGAACCTTACATTGTATCTTTAGATCACTGATCTCTTCCTGGGCCTTTGCTAGTTTCACATTATTTGACGTAATTAGTTCTGTGATTTCTTCTATTTCCCGGTTCTTACTGTTAAGCTTATTTTCTATTATTTCGAGTTCTCTAGCTTTGATTTTTAGCGATCTGTTTTCCGTCTCCAGTGCAAACCTTTTTTCGTTCGAAATGTTTATCATTTTATGAAGATCTTCAATCTCTTGGTTTTTAGATTGTAGAATAGCTCTCTGGTGGTTAAGCTCACTTTGTAGCGTGCTTAGTTGTTTCGACTTGTCAAGACTTTCATTCATTGCTAGTTTTTTCTCCCTCATTAGTTGTTTTATTGAATTGTTATTTTCTTTGATTAACGAATCTGCTCCTTTGTCAACCACTACTTTATCCATTAAATCAGCAAATGTTTTTTCGAGATTTTCAAGTTTAAGTAGGCGTTCAAGTATCTCCTCGTGATTGTTTTGCATTTTGTATTCAATGTCTTCAACTTTTGTTCTCAAACGAATGTTGTCTAAAAAACTAGATGGATCTCGCGAGGATATTGGCGTATCATGACTATCATTGATCAATTGAGAAACTGTTGCTGTAGTGTTCATTTCGTCCGTGAGGTTATTGTCTGCCATTCTAATGGCATCTATCAAACTCGATTCATTTTCAGAGTCTAGATCAATGTCCGATTCGTCGAAAATATCTGATACTTCATTGGTTTTAGTTCTCAGGTTATATCTCTTTGCCATTTTAATACCACTCTTTACACTGAACGAAGAGTTTATAGCAGGATGACGCAATGTCACAAGGTTTTCACATTAATTTCGAACAATTTACACTGAACGAAAAGAGTTTATAGTAAGATGACGCAACGTCACAATATTTTCTCAATATTTTTTGGGCGATAATAGGGATATATATCAAATTTATCAAAATATCTTTAAAAAAACGATCTGTTTAGATTACTGTTTGTCACAAACCCCGCGTAATATCCTTCCTAGGAACTTTAAGTGTCTCTCAATGGTATATCTAGTCCGTTTCACTCATTATATATCACCAAAATGTTGAATTAGAACCAGTACCGCATTTTACGTCTTGCAGTTATGCCGGATTACGCTATATTGCATATAGGTTATTTCCAACATGAAACGTTCAAAATGAGTTATTTGATTTGTCGGATGGGATTTGCTTCTCCCTGGTGTTGCTGTTCTTTTGTTATATAAATAGACTTTCCTAAAATAACAAAATAAATCCTCTTTATTCTGACTTTCAAAAATATCAAGCCAAGATTATGTTGTAATTACTATAGTATGTCACCACAACAAGTTATAGTCTCTAATTTTTTGTGGATTGTGTTAAGCAGTTGGTGTTTGTCATTCAGTGGTGTAACAAATGGCAGATGGAGATATTTTCCTTGTTCCTAACTACTGCTGACCTTGAGAAGCCAGCCTTGACATTGACTTTTGATTTAGTGGCCCTAGTTTAATCACTTGGTTGCATTTCAAATAAAAATATACATAAAGTATATTAAGTGACATAAATTGTACTAAACATTCTTAATCTGTGGAAATTATGTCATGTTAAATGTGAACAAGTGGCAGATTTAGCCTTTAATAATAACCACCAGCCTTGGCTTTTAAATCCCTCGCCCATGGTTAAATTCCTATTTAGTAGCCCTGATCTACTTATAAAAGGACAGACAGTTTATTTCCCCATATAGATTGCACAGTACATTCAAGGTCTGGAACATTTGTGTCATTTTCTATAGCGTAAGCCATTTACTTCCAAGACATCTTCTTTTCAACTCATTGATTTCTAGTTGGTTCCCCAGTTTTCGACCATCGGAAATATTTCCATCCCTGGCATTAATTTTACATGTTTTCTGTCATAATTTTTCATAATAAAGTAGGGGTAGTTAAATAATGGTGTCATTTATACGTATCTGGAGTTTCTCTAATTGTCATTTTGTTCTTTGTTGTTTCCTCTCTCCGGCATTAATTATTAAAAAAAGACAAACGTAAAATTCATCGCAATGGTGAGCTCGGCTTTCTTTGAGTGCCTGGATTCAGGAATTAACAGAAGCTGATCCCAACTCAATTAACTTTTCATCGACCTTACCCTCTTTGTTAATCGTAACTTTACTTTTTGTTGTATATTGTCAATCAAAGCGTGTACCTGAACAATGGTTTCAGAAGTTTTTGAAGTTGTTTGTGTTACTGAATGTTTTCTATATTTTGCTACACAGGATTATATTTAGTTAAACATTCTCCATTTTGCATGCCCATTCCACTTTTTTCTCGCCAGTTGCAGAGAAAAGGCATGACAATCATTATCATTTTACATGGGTACAATGCCATCTGTGAAGTTTCAATTTTATCAGATCAATCAGGCATGATAGAAGATTAATTTTTCGTTGGTTGTGATGTAATAGTGCAAGCTTCTAATCTATATTTTCAATATTTGGGGTTAATGTATCTAAATTAATCATGTTTCTTGATTAACTGTCATTTAATGAGAATTTGATTAGAAAAATCACATCGCAGGCACATTTACTGATTGTATATAATAATAGAGCCAAAAGCAGCCTTACCAAATTCATTAAAATTAATGAATAGAATTAATTAACAGATTCATAATAATTTCATGTTCTATTCATGCTATTATATAAAGAAGAAATCTTTTTTGTATTAACCTTTGAAATTTGATTTTCTATTTCATGAAGGCGTTGTATTGAAAATTGAGAAATATAAAAAAATTAAGCCTGGTATTTTTGTAATTGTTAAAAAATGAGTAACAGACTGACTTTTACGTCTACCTTTTCACTATTTGATCGAAGTCTGAGTATAAATTGATTATTGTGACATATAGAATATACAGGGTGGTCCAAAAAAAATGGGACACTCGTATTTCAAAAATATATATTGATTTTCTTGATGAAAACATGTCATATTATATACCAATGGATAGGGAATTGACTCATCTTTAATTTGGTATATCATAAGTTCAAATTTATTACAATGTCTGTCAACCAGCGTCCATTATATAAATGATGTCATTTTCGTTTCAAAACGGGTTTTCCGAAACTTGCAAAAACCAAATTTATTGTCAACTTTATTTACATAAACAGACGTTCAATATGTCCACCATTTTGATCAATTGTAGCCCTTAATTTTGGCCTAAACTGGTCAATAGCATCATTGATATGCTGTTGAGACAATGAATTTCACTTCTCAATAATTCTTGGTTTTTGCAAGTTTTGGAGAACCCGTTTTGAAATGAAAATGACATCATTTATATTATGGACGCTGGTTGACAGACATTAAAATTAATTTGAACTTATGATACTGTACCAAATTAAAGATAAGTAAATTCCCTATCCACTGGTATATAATTTGACATGTTTTCATCAAGAAAATCAATATTTATTTTTGAAATACGAGTGTCCCATTTTTTGGACCACCCTGTATGTATCACTTGCTTTTGATTGCGAATGTTTGATGAACCATATTATTAGGAATTGATATAAAACTGTTGTTGCGTCAAATTGAAGAGTCTTCAATCGACATGAAAAGTAACTAGAGGTTTTTTCTCCTGAATGTAAATGATATTCCCTGGACATCCTCTCAATTTCATCAATTTTAGTTGGTGGATGGGTGATAATGATGCATTGCCTCCGCCCTATAAAGATTACAGAAGATAGTAGAAAAATAGAAAACCTTATGTCATATTGTAAGAGTTGTATCTTAAATTCGGACTGGCATTCAATCTGAATGTCATTGTAGTCTAATCGACATAGAAGAGACGTACAAATACGGCTGACCTTCATCAGGACTAGACAGACATGATTAAAAGTGATAATCGTGATGATCTTGGTTTTACTGAGGATCTGATTTACCCAATAATTGTCTTTTTATTTGTTATTACTTTAAGATCAATATATTTTATAGAATTGTATATTGGTTGAGGATATTCCTAATGCTAAAGCAAAACTTCCTACTTCGATCATAAGATCAAATTTTCAGTATTATAGTAGACAGGCATTTTAAGCTCATATTTCAACAGAAATCATCTTTCATCATCCTGAAAGAAGCAGGCTTATAGCCAGGGGGGATTGGGATGTTCAGGCCAAGAATTCTATAAAAATCATGCAGTTTTTCCTATTTTGAGTACTTTTCAAGTGATTTTGGGCTATTGAACCCCACTAGACTGTTTTGAACCCCCCCCCCCCCCCCTTGCAAAAGCTGGCTTCTGGCCTTAGAAGTAAAATATCATTAGATCACAAGAATGAACAAAATTGAACATGACATGAACTTGACATGAACATGACATCTCATTACTTCTCAACCTTGAGATGGTGAAACAGAAAGATGCTATGAGTATCAGAATGTGTCTCAATGATCAATTGGACTTGATAAAGGATAAAGAACATTGACAGGAGAGATTTCCATACATAATCAGATTGCAATTACGAACACCTTCACTCAATCAATTCCTCATTATTTACTGGACATTGCACCTTCCTACTACAAATGGCTCAACCTTTAAGCTCTCAATTAGATTCTCATTAGTAATTTATAAAACTCTGATTTTTATGGTTCTGTATTAACATCAAATCATTGATGTTTTTGTTTTCTGTGTATCTATCTGCTCTCTCCTTTAGCTCATCCCATTTTTGATTTTGCAAAACAAATGCATCAAGGACCTTTGAGATTTGTAAAGGGAAATAT